TTTTTCCCCCCCCCCCCCTTTCTGAGAAGCTGTTTCTCTCTCCAGGGGCCCGGTGCTTTCTGTTGCCATGGGCTGCAACAGTGAATCCTGCTACAGTGGAGGGCTGGACACAAGGATACGCTGCTGGAGGATCCCAGATCTCAGCATGGACCCTTATGACGGTTACGGTAGGTCAGGACGGAGCTGGCCTTCCTTTCTTTGATCCAGCGGCCGAGAGCCCCAATTCTCTCATCCAATGAACGAGGAGGAATAGATATGAGTGCTGTTTTTAATGGTTTAAATCCTTTTTACTTAATTTTAGTTTAATTTCGAGCACTTTGTCACATCATGTCTATGCTTTATTGTGCCGTGAGCCACCCAGAGTGACCACTGGTCCGACGGGCTGTGTAAAAATTAAATAAATATATAAATAAAAATAGAGGAAGTGGCTGGCAAACACTTACAGGTTTAGAACCCAAGACTAGGCTCCGTGTTTGTGTTTACATTTGTTGGTGTTAGGAAGAAGGGATTCTTGCTCACCTCCAGCTTTTGCAAGCTGCTGTCTCTACCGCACTTGGATGGGAGGAGCAACGTGTTGCCGATGGAAAGGCTCTAATGCTCCTGCATTTAGGAGCAGCTTTGTTGCTTCTGGGGGCCTTCGACCTGAAGGGTCAGGAGCAGTACAGCCAATTCGATTCCTGCTGCCCTCCGCATGGAGGGACCCACCCGGTGTCCAGAACAGCAAAGCTCTTCCTGTTTCACTAATTGAAACAAACAGAAGAAAAGGAAACTTTGAGTAAAAAGCAACTGCGTAGGTCTAAAACAGGCCCTGGGGGGAAATCTGAAACATATCGACAAGCAGCTTGAGGAGGTCTTCGGAAGAGCGCAGGCGTTGGGGGTGGCCTTCTGAGGTCCAGAAGGAGCCTTTGAATGTTGATGTGTAGTGGACAACTTTCAACACCTCATAGATAGGGCAGAGACTAAAAAGGCAGGAGAGAATTGCTAAGATAGAATTTTGTACCCAGAGAAATGACAGCCATCCAGAGCAACAACTGCATCCTACCCTGTTAACATCTTCTAGTTTCCTCTTGGGAGAGATGCCAAGACATCACCAGGGAAGGCCGATACTCTCCTTCTTTCTATGTCAGGGAAGTGTCAGGCCAGTTTTGCTAAAGCACACTAAGAGACATCTTACTAACCCACCTGTTTTTTCCAGACATTAAAACATTGTTCAGGGGATCATATTTGGCTGAGGCATAGTTTGGAGAATTCACTCTGTTCAACTACAACTCCTAAGAGCCAGAGCTTTAGAGAAACTGTAGTCCACACCTTTCAAAGTTTTATTTACCTTGTGTTCCTTCTTCTCGGTTCACTCCTGTAAGAGGCTGGTTGCGATGATGATTAGGGCTTTTTCGACTGCAGGTGCAGCAGCATTAATTAATGATGTGATGTCCCATGCAACGCAGTCTACAAAGTTTTTCAGCCAGTGCTTTCTACATCTTGCACACACACACACACACACACACACACACACACACCATTTAAACTTCAAAAATCTTGAATATGTAGATGCTGTTATCTGTATATGTTTCTGGACAATCTTGTTGTGCCAGATTTAAAAGCAAGCTGGTGATGCTGCATGTTTTTGTATGTTTCTTCTTCACAGACCCCGGCGTGCTCAGCCGTGTCCTGGAGGGTCACTCCGACGCTGTCTGGGGCTTGGCGTTCAGTCCCTTGAAGAACCGCCTGGCCTCCTGCTCTGCGGATGGCACTGTGAGGATATGGGACCCCAACAGCAGCAGCAGCGACTCTCCCTGCCTCAGCACATACAACGTGGAGAGCGGTGAGCCGGGACTCTGAAAGAGACCCTCTCTGTTTTTCCCGGCAGCCAGGGAGTTAGCGAATGGCTCTTGAATCCTGCTCCCAGGAGGCCACTCGTGCCTCGAATGGAATTGCCTTTCCCGCACTTGGTGTCTCTGTGTTGGACGCGGGAATCATCAAAGTCCACGGCAGGGCCAGAAAAGGTTTCAGGAACGCTGACCGTATCCCATCAAGCACATATTGAGTATCTGTGGGAGGTGCAGCTCACCCAGATCAACAGCAGAGGGAACTCTCCTCTCCTTAGTTGCTGACTTTTATTTTACAAGGAGACCTTTTAGATTTTCTCGGGTGGCAGAAGATGGCACCATGGAGCTGCTTGTCTGAGAGAGGATATACTGTTTTCTTTCTTCCCGTGGTCTCTTTGGGTCAAATGTGGATTGTCTAGTTTCTCTAGCATCTCAAGCCTTCCCGTGCAGGGTGGCCGATGTTGGCCCTCTAGCAGTGCAGCCAGCGCTGGTCCATTAGAGAAAAGATAACATGAAGTCTTACTCAACTTCAGGAGCACATAAAACAGACCCCTTCCCTCCTGGGACTGTGGCAGCCCCTGCGCACCCTTAGAATGCCCGCATCTCCATCCCCCAGATCTCCGGGCTCGCCTTCCTCATCCTCTCTTTCCTTGGCAGAACACGGAATCCCGACCTCCATCACGTTCTCCAGTGTCAACCCTGTGCACATGGTGGCGGCCTTCCAGACAGGCTACGCCGTGCTTTATGATGTGGAGGCCTCCTGCCCTGTCCTGACACTAGAATCTCGACCAGCCAGTGGTGAGTTGTGAGCTGATGTGGGCGGAGGGGAGGGGGGCACCCAACCCTGCACTCCCTCTAAAATGTAGGTGAGTGGGAGACAGGGAGGGAACCTAAGCTTGCAAAGGCCATGTTTTAAACTACATCTCCCAGAAGCTACTTGCAATTCTGGCTGGAGGATTCTGGGATTTGTTGTGCAAACTGTACTTCCCTTTTTAAGGGGGTGGTGGTCCTTTTTTTCCTCCCCCAAGTTCCCCATGGAAGGTTTGTGTGTAACATCAAACGGCAAGGTCTTCTGGTTCGGGCAAGTTTGTGAGGCAGCCTCCACGGAAGAGGTTCTTTGGCCTGGGCTTTGCCCTTCTCCCCAAGAGAGCTCGGTGCGGGATCAGGCATTTGCTCCCCTCTTTTCTCTCCTGACAGGAGCCAGTCAGATCAACCAAGTAGTAAGCCACCCAACCCAGCCGGTTACAATCACAGCCCACGACGACCGAGGGATCCGTTTCCTTGACAATCGGACAGGTAGGGACATTGTCAGTCAGTCAAGGTGCCCATGGTCGTGCAGGCTTGGCTTCCTTACAAGGAGAGAAGAAGCGGCCGCTTCTTAAACCCCGTCAAAACGGGCGGGTCCTGCCCTGCCCGAAATAGGTCTTTCCGAAAGGCCCCAGCCGTTGGGGCAAGGTGGCACGTTGGACATTTGGTACCTGCTGCGACCACACTTTCACAAAGAAATTTCCTTTTCTCTGCGCAGGGAAAGCTGTGCATTCCATGGTGGCTCACCTGGACGCCGTCACCTGTCTTGCTGCAGATCCTAACGGTGTCTTCCTTATGTCAGGAAGTAAGTCATTTCTCATCCTTAAGCAAGGAAAACTCCTTGCGTTGCAGTCAAGCCTCAGCTATGGCAGGGGAAACACACAGTCTATAGCACATGAGGCTCCTTTTCCCCCCAAGGTTCCCCACCCCTGCAGTGAAGAACTTAGACGCCCGTCATCAGCAGGAAGGGCCACTCCGCCTAGGTCAGGCATGCTTGGGCGCACCTGTAG